CCCCCACCTCCAGCCACAAGTCTCCTCCCGGCCCTGAAGCACCCGTTAAGGTCTGAGGGGGAGGGGAGAGGAAGGGGGGGAGGAGCTAGATCTTTCACCCTAAGAGAACTTTCAGGATTTGAAAAGATCAACTTTTTCCCAGACGACATTTGGAAACTCCTTCATTATGAAGGTGGAAGCGCTACTTCAAAATGAACGCGAGCAAGGAATGCACCCCTGACTTCAGTTTCAGGGGTCGAAGAGACACTGGTGCAGCCCAGGTAGCAAACATAAACGTGCCAGCTTGAGGAAATCCACGTTAGTTACTCAGGCAATGCCTGGGAAAGTTCCGCACTTCGGGTCGGGTCGGGTGCGCCCCCGCCCCCAGAAGTCAGGCTAACAGTAGGTGCTCAGGGAGAGAGGGTGCACGCAAGGTAAGTTGCTTCCCGCGGTGGGGGGTGGAGGGGGTGGAGGGGCCCCTGCCCTCGCCCTCGCCTAAATGGGGACCTGCGGCTGTGCACAGCGGCTGGAAAGGGAAGGGAGCTTCCCGCTGCTCTCGCTGCGCAGCGCAGCCCCGCCGCCGGCAGGACCCTGGACAGCGCCCGGCCCCGGCCCGAGACCTTGGTTCCCCCGCAGCGCCCGGAGCGCGCGCTCGGACCCGCCAGTCGCGGTTCTCTGACAGCGCCACCCGCCCCCGCCTCGCTCTCAGCCACCACCTCCACCGCATTCTTCACCCAGACTCACACACGCGCGCACACTCACACTCACGCACACTCACCCCTCCCGCGCCTCCTCCCCAGCCTCCAACCCTCAATCCCTTCGTTTTGCAGTGGGCGCTCTCGCAAGTGTGTTCAAACCCGGCCGCTTCGGGGGGGCCGAGGCGCCCCATTCCAGCCACCCGCGGCGCTGAAGTTGGCTCCCTCTCTCGTCCCCGCTCGGCTTCCTTTCTCAAGGTGAGAGTCGGAGAAGAAAGGAGTTCAAGGAGCGTGTGAGGTGCGGCGAGGCAGGCGCGAGGAGGAAGACCACCCGGGCACCCGCGGGTGCCGACGCTCCCCGGGGTGCAGGACTAAAAGAAATAAATCGGCGAAGATGCTCCAGGGACCAGGAGGAAAATCCCCTAGGCTGGGACTGTCTGCCACTGGGGCGGGTTTCCCCGGCGGGAGGTTTCTGCTCACCTGGGTCTTCCTGGAGAACGTGGACTTGAGACGCGCCTGAGCCCGGGCGGACAGCGCTGTGGTCCGCAGGCCGGAGGACCGCGGCCGCGCGGGCAGCGGGCGCCTCGGCTCCAGCTCAGACGGCGCTCGGATGCGATCTGGGCTGTACACTAGTGCCCTCTCTCTTCAGCACGATTTTACCGCAAGGGAAAAAAAAAAAAAAGAAGGGGGAGGGAAAAATTAAAAAACAGGTCACCCAAGGCTTGTCTCTAACCTCATGCACAAAAAACCAGTCGTTTAGTGGAAGGGGGAGAAGAGCTAGGAGGAAGCGGGGAAGACTGGTCCATTTACCACCGCCGGGTTCCTAAAGAGCTGCTAAGATACACGAACGGTCAGATCTGGCGAAAGCAGTGGGGAACCGCTTAGGCTGATCTGTATTTCAAGGACCCAGACGCATTTTTCTCTCCCTGGACCTAATGCCCTTCCTGAGGGAAACAGAGTAAATACCTGTGGAGACGTCTAGAAAAAGGCTCCATTAGAAGGCTTCAGGGGAGAGGGGGAGAGGCTGCGTGGGGTGGGGGTAAGAGGAGGAGGGGGGTGCCCACCACGACCGGGGTCAGCCAAGTGGAGAGAGGCAACCCCTGGCTACTTTTTCCAGGTCAAGATGGAAACTGAGAATGGGAGTGGGGTCACACGAAAACACTGGAGTGAAAAACACCTATCCAAAACCCTCCCAGGCTGCCATCACCCTCCCTCCCGGCAGGTCTACAGTGCTGCTTCTTACTGTGTGAGAAGTGGAAGTTAACGCACAGTCCTCTGGGAACGTGTTGTGGGCTGAGCCGAGGGTGCCCCAGCTTCTTCGGAGGGGAAGGACAAGTGACAGTGTGCCTTTCCACTCTTGCTCAAAGCTCGCTATTCCTGTCATCTGTAGAGAAGAGACATCAGCTTATGTGTGCCCCTTTATAATCACCTTGCTCCTGTTGTAGTTATTCCGCGGAATGATGCCATGTCAGCCTGGAGGGGACAAACCACATGAGATAGTTTCGAGTACCCTTTCGTAAGTTCCATGAAACCTAGGAAAGGAAACAACGTCTCCAGGCAAGAACAGAAGCTAATTCTCATGCCGGTTCTGGTCTTTTTTGCCCACGTGTCAGATTTTCTGGATTTTTCTTGGACAATGTAAAAAGGATTGGATTTTTTTTTTCTTTTTCCATTAATGATGCACTGAACCAGGTACACGGCCTTTAGTCCTAAAGCATCTCAGTTCTGGAAGTAACCATATGTTTACTCAAGAAAAATAGAAAGTAAGTTTCTGTCTTCACACATAGGGTAAAACGGTTGTCTGCCGGTGCCCGAGGAAGAGGTCAGCTGTGAACAAGCCACAAGCATTTGCAGTGTCCCGTCTCAATTCCTTTATTAGCCATTTAACGTCCATTTTAGATAATACTATTCCAGTAAGATAAGCCCTACACATGATTTTCTCAGCATGTTTCATAGACATCGTGAAATGCACAAAGATCTCTGTGCATATATAGACCGTTAACTATAATTTGCAGTATTAGGGAATTAAGGTCTCTGCAGTCCACGTGCAGCTTCATTGTGTGCTCCTCAAAACAGTATTTTTAATATATCACATCATTTAGAAAAGATTCGGCTACTGAAGGAATCATTGAATGTTCAGATTTACTTGTTCTCAATACAGTCCAAGTAAAAACTACACATTCAGGGTGGTTGAAACAAATAATTTTTTTTTAATTTTATTTTTGTTTGAAATATTACAGATGTCCCTTTTTCTCCCCAATGACCCATTCCACCCCATCCCTTCCCCCTCCCCAGTCCCTCTCCCCACCATTGTCCGTGTCCTTGGGTTGTGCATATATGCACATAAATTCTTTGGTTACTCTCTCCNTTTATTTATTTTAATTTTATTTTTGTTTGAAATATTACAGATGTCCCTTTTTCTCCCCAATGACCCATTCCACCCCATCCCTTCCCCCTCCCCAGTCCCTCTCCCCACCATTGTCCGTGTCCTTGGGTTGTGCATATATGCACATAAATTCTTTGGTTACTCTCTCCCCCTCCACCCACCCGCCCTCCAAGGGGACAAACGTGGGCGTCACCGCATAGAAGACTTATGCATGCACATAAGTTATGTACAACAGGTGTGCAGATAAACTTGTTTCAAATGCATCAATTTGAAATTGTCAACTAAATCTATAGATAATTATTTCAGACAAAGCTTTAAAAGTCTACAAGGATAAAAGGAAGGCAGGAAGAAGGCATTGAGAGAAGAGAAGACAAGGTCATTCAGACACGCTCTGTCTTCCTGGGAACCAACACTCTACCAAGACGGGCAGGATGCAGTACATACGTGGACATCTAAGGGAAACTTCCATTCATTGGATTGAAGGGGATTGCTAAAAGGATGAATCACATGCAAATGAACAAATATAGATCAATACGTTAATATGTAAGAGCTCAAAGAATGTTAAAAGTGCACAAGCTCAGGAGCACTGCCAGTGTGAATCTGTGCCAGGGATGGGTACATTACATTTGATATGTGATTTGTAGCAGGGTAAAAAGTGTTAGGAGTATTTTGGTTTGGAAAATCCATTTAAAACAAAATATAGTGGAGATCAAGCAAAAAAAAGTTTCCAACATATTATCTCAATGTGCTG